AAAAAAAAAAAAAAAGATAATAAGTAAATAAAGAAGTGAAAATAAAAAAAAATCAAAGATAGAAAATAAAAAAGTGTAGATATTAAAACGTAATGCGAAACTGCTTCTAGATGAAATTAAGCCGATTTTGTGATGGAAAAAGTATATCATAAAAGATATATATATATATATATATATATATATATTATATATATATATATATATATATATATATATTATATATATACACACACAAATAATACAGCGTGCATAAAAATAAAAATAAAATCTTATGTGATCATCTGTACCTATCACCAATGCGTTGTATGATCACAGACACTTTTTGTAAAAAGTGTGAAAATTCAGTAAATATATAATTGTTTGCAAATTCACCTTTTCTTAAAATAAACTTAACAAACATAGTACCGTGTGCTAACCTGTTTCCTAATTCCTCTGTTTCGTGTATCTACTCTACTAACCTGAATGATAATTATCGGAATTCAGATCCTTGGTTAAATGCTCTGATATTATTCATTTAGATTTTACCTTTTAAGAATAAGTGTCCATATCAACCTGTATGCCAAACTATTAATGAAAAAAGGTATTGCAGTATTACTTATACTCGGAGTCTGATGACATGCGAGCGTCTAAAACACTTATAAATATGCTACATTATAACATATTCAATGAATATGTTAAACTTTAGATTATTTAGTCTCAGCCCACTTCAAGAATGGGTAAAAAAAAAACATTTTTGAAGTGAGTTGGGACTAAATAATTCACTAACACATTTGTAAATATGCTACATAATATAGTTTTTCGTAATAGACTGTGGGGTCCCTACAGGCTTCTGATTATCACGTGAATATTTTTAATCGTTGCATAGCATCTGGTGGATTATTTAGTCCCAGCTCACTTCATGAATGGGTAAAAATCCCGTTCTTGAAGTGAGTTGGGACTAAATAATTCACTAAAACATTTATAAATATGCTACATAATAATATCGTTTTTTTTTTCCTAATAGACTGTCGTGTTACTTGAGGATTCTGACTATTAAACGAATATGTAAATCGTTGCCTAGCATCTGGTGTATTATTTAGTCCCAACTCACTTCATGAATGGGTAAAAAATCTCATTCTTGAAGTGAGTTGGGACTAAATAATTCACTAAAACATTTATAAATATGCTACATAATAATATCGTTTTTTTTTCCTAATAGACTGTGGTGTTACTTGAGGATTCTGACTATTAAACGAATATGTTAATCGTTGCCTAGCATCTGGTGTATTATTTAGTCCAAGCTCACTTCAAGAATGGGTAAAAAAAAAAACATTCTTAAAGTGATTTGGGACTAAATAATTCACTAGCTTAGGAAATCTGAGTTAGTAAGTAAGTACTCAGAAATCCTCTGAGTCCTGTTAGACTGTTCAGTGTTTCAAGTTATTAACTGAGTGATATTTAACATCCCTTGACACTGTAATCTTTAACAACAGAACTTAACCTGTTGAGGCAACTCAGGGCAGAGGATAAAGGTCTTTGTCGTCAAGAGTGACTCGATTTTTTTTATCTTTTTAGAACAGTTTTCAGTATACACGTACACATACACCTACACACACACACACACACGCACACTCACTCACATACATACACAAAGAAAGATAGTGAGAGAGAGAGAGAGAGAGAGAGAAAAATGAGGAGAGAGAGAGAGAGAGAAAATGAGAGAGAAGAGAGAGAAAAGAGAGGAGAGAGAGAGAGGAAGAGAGAGAGAGAGAAAAATGAGGGAGAAAGAGAGAGAGAGAAAATGAGGAGAGAGAGAGAGAGAGAAAGAGAAAAAAGAGGAGAGAGAGAGAGAGAGAGAGAGAATGAAGAGAGAGAGAGAGAGAGAGAGAGGATGAGAGAGAGAGAAGAGAGAGAGAGAGAGAGAGAGAGAGAAAATGAGAGAGAGAGAGAGAGAGAGAGAGAGAGAGAGAGAGAGAGAGAGAGAGAGAGAGAGAGAGAGAGATAGAGAGAGAGAGAGAGAGAGAGAGAGAGAGGAGGGGAGAGGGAGAGGCAGAGAGAGAAAGAAGAGAGAGAGAAGAGACAGAGACAGAGACAGAGACAGACACAGAGACAGACAGGCAGACAGACAGATAGATAGACAGAAAGCCAGAGACAGACACAGACAGACAGACAGAAAGCCAGAGCCAGACACAGACATAAACAAAACAAACACACACACAGACACCCGAGAACGGAGCGTGTACCCAAACACCCCCATCGCGCTAACCTCACCAAAGCCCATACGTAGGTCTATACAAGTACTTAAATAGACCTTACGTGCAGTGACATGAGAGACAACCCGACGCCCCGATCACAACGCCATCTACATCAGAAGAACCGAAACAGAAGACAAGCTGTGATCCCAAGTCTCAAGCCTCGCACTTGAATAGCTTGAGTTCGTTCAAGTCATTGCCCTCAAGTTTTAAAGCTCATTGAAGGACGATGATGCGCTGTGAGACCTCGTGGTCGTTCTTGCAAAATA